GGCTACCTTCTACCTCACGCTTCTTGCTGATGCTAGCGCTCCGGTGATCAACAATTTTGTTCTAGAAGGGCTACAGGTACTTTTTTCATTCAAAAGGAAAACATAGCGACAACATTTCTCTCTAGGTGCTTCCATCGAGCCTTGAGCATTGTCTGTTTGATTACGTCAAAGGAGATTCGTTCAATACACCGTTTGATTTGCGTGTCGTGCCTGTGACTAGCCAGCCATTGTCGCAACCTGAAAAGCGTGCGCCTGTACTAGCCGACGTTCCTGCGGAGAAACCTGTCGTGGCAAAGAAGGAGCCTTACGCAGGTGAGAGACTCTCAAGCAAACTTGAGAAAACCCGAAGTTTCCGATTGCGTCTGTTAGACGAGGTAGACAGATTTCTTGCAGAACAACTGTCTCAAATTCCGGAGTTCGCGCAACTTGGACCTCTATTCCACTCATCACCACGTGTGGCACTAACTGATGAAGTCACCGAGTACACCGTCCATGCCATAAAGCACATCTTCACTAATCACGTTGTTATCCAGGTGAGTTGAGGTTTATCATCGTAGAATTGTAACTGTAAAGTGACATTTTAGCTAGACTGCAAGAACACTCTGAACGACCAACTTCTGGAAGATGTCTTTGTAGAACTGGAAGATCCTGACGGCGAATGGTCAGTGGATCACACTATTCCCATCAGCAGCTTGCCTTACAATGAGACAAAACCCACGTATGTGCTGATGGAATTCCCTGAATCAGGTGAGATGAGAAATCAAATGAACTGCATTTCGAGAATTTCCTAACTACTATTTTTGCTTTTTGGTGTTTGTTGTGAGAATCTATATTGTAAGCATCTGTTTTGTTCTAGGGTCTGTCACTGGTACTTTTGGTGCTACACTGAAATTTAACGTAAAAGACGTAGATCCGGCTACTGGTGAACCAGAATCTGATGATACTTACGAGGACAGCTACGTGGTCAGTAATTCTAATGCGCGAAATATATGTCGTTCACATCAGAGCTCGATATAATTTTTTTGTTGCATCAAAGAAGATCCAAATAATAAGGGACTTTCTTTCTTGGATATGTGTTTTCAGCTGGAAGAGCTAGAGTTGTCGGTTGGTGATTTGGTGGCTCCGGTGATCAAACAAAACTTTATGGCATCTTGGGAAGCTATGGATGGTGTCAAAACTGTAGA